CATTTAACCCGAATGGTTGATTGTGTATCATGCCCCCCCCCCCCCCCCCCCCCATTTCTTTCCTACTCTGGGGTGTCATTTATAATGCGCTTCCTCATTGTCCTCTTGAATTTCAATATAAATTTGATTTAGGTTTCTGCTAATGTTTTTCCTCCCAACTAAAGATATGCATTTATCTGTAACAGCAAAGGCAGTAGATTCAATTGGGGATTTCTGGGGTGACTGAAATTTATATGGAGAAGTTGATGAGTCTAGTGTGCTACTTGAAATTGGGTCACCCTCAGTTCTGTGTCTCTTTGGTGTGCTGTACCGGGGATCTTTTTTCACTCTTGTCTTCAATTATAATTTTGCAGGAAAATTTATTCCTACTAATATCTGCATCTTCTTTAGACTTTTTGCAATAGTCTTCATATCATTTAGGAATATTCTTGGGACATTTGGCCTGAAGATTCATATAAATACAATGATAAACATTTAAGTCTCATATTAGTGCACTAGGGGAGCAAAGAAAGTATTTAATACACACAAAAATATCCTTCAAACACTATCACCATGGAAGAATTGTTTACTACCATGGCCCATAGGAGCCCAATCGTGCGTCTTTAAGATGCCCTTTCACATGCGAAAACAACATGCATCATGTCTATTTGTATGTTAATAATTAATTATAATTAAGCCATATAGCAGCGGAATTGACAAGAACCCCATTCACACTACAGTTGCAAAAATGCGCATTTCTATAATTCGAATTTTTCGTGAGGAATTCGAATCAGTATTGCATTCACACACGCTAAGTGAAACTGAATCACATGTTGAAAATTTCCTGTTTTGAACACTCGCGCATGCGCCGCATAAGAAATCTTAAAATACCAAAAAACTCAAAAGACATTCCAGCATTCTTGAGAAGTATAAGATGGCAAAATAAGTTTATGTTTCCTCATGTTGCAGTGAGTGGTGTCCTCCAAATATGTTTGGTGCAATCGCTTAAGTAATAAACAAGCGTTCAAAGATACTTGCACTTATCTGCACACATGCACAGTAAGATCTGTACAGGTGTCTATTCCGGTAAGTTATTTGAATCGCGCATAGAAATCCACCTCGTTTGCAGGATTTTGAAAATTCGCATTACAGAAATCCTCTTGCGTTCACTACTGCATTTATTCGAATTGTGACCTAATTCACAACTTATCTGGATAACTGAGCGTAGTGTGAATGGGGTAAAGGTCTATGCCGTGTTCTTTTACAGACCCAAAAATGACATGGCTGTGTCTGTTTTGCCACTTACTAAACTCCGTGTCCATAGATGCAAGATTGACAAGACTCATGTCGCGTTCGTCTCTTAGGTAACTGTGGATTTTTGAGCTTCAAATGGCTATGTTATAAGACTCTAAATTCACATGGTCATGTCTTGTTTGTCATTCACTAAGACCCATAGATGCGTACTGACCATATCCATGCTGCATTTGTCTTATACTGTGCATGTTATAAAACACGAAATTGACATAGCCATGCTTATTTAGTAACTTGCTGGCTGCCATAAATGCAAGATTGCCTTTTATAACATACGTGGTCATTTGAAGCTCGAAAATCCACAGTAAGGGTGCATTCCCATAGATTTTAGATCAATCTATCCCTGTGGGGGTCTCACTAGATTACTGTCAGATAATCTGGCTTAAATGTCCGTCCCGCCTACTACAACTTGAAAGGGTTATTAACTTTCGTGCCTGCTCGGCTGACAGCTATTTAGCGTGATCCCCCAAGGGAGTTATGTCGATCTAGTTTGATCGATCTAATCTCTGGGAATGGGGTCTAAAGGATGAAAGTGACATGGGTCGTGTCAATTTGGAGTTCAGTAAGTGGCGAAACAGACACATCCATGTCAATTTTGGGGCTCAAAGCTCTGTAGTAAAAGACAAATTGGGCATGGGCCTTGTCAATCTTGCTGCTATAGGGCTTAATAACATACAAAACAGACACGTTGCATGTCGTTTTTGCATGTAAAGGGACGCATGCGTAGGCTCCTATTGGCCGTGGTAGTTGGGAAATGGGTTTTTGCTGCTACAATGTACAGTAGGCTCACTTTCTCCTTTACAACTACTTACACTGACCTAAGTGAAGTTGAACCGTTCAGCGAATGAATGATGAAGGGATTGGGTTTCCCATATCACTTTCACATACCAGAACCAAGTT